TATATATATATATATATATATAAATATATACAGGAAGCATGAAATAGAAAGACAGGACAACAAAAGAAGAACAAGGTATGTGGAAGCTTAAAATAAAAAGACAGAACGACACTAGATGAGCGTTTCGACTATGAGCCTCCCTCAGCAGACAGGACAAATGAAGAAACAAGCTATGGAGAGTAGTTAAAACACTTAAGTGCTGGCAATAATCTTGTTGACGGAAGTGCGGGGAGAAAAGATCCAGTTGCTTCCAACAGGGCGAACAAAGGGGGTGGTGGGGTGTTAATGAAATTCCCGCTACTACCTGAAAGTAGCTCAAAAACTGAAGTGTTCGCAAGACTTGGTTTTTAGCATAGTTCTACCTTAAATAAAAAAACTGTTAATAATGATCACCTCTCCAGTATGCTGAAATAATAATAAAGATATGATATCTTTTTTTTTGGTGGGTAGGGGGGGGGGGTAAGAGAGACTTCAATCAGCTGTACTGAAGGGCTTCGACATATTGCGCATATTGGTACACAAAATCCCATCTCAAAACATTGATAAGGGCTCCTGTGGCTTGGTTATCACGACCATTGTTTCCTGTACCAACACGCCCGCCAGAATGAACTTAAAGAAGAAACTGATACAGACTGATGGCGCAAGGCATGAATGTCATGCTCTCCTTCACTTGTTAAATATTTTCTCCAACCCCCTCCTCTTTACAACCAAACGCAGTGCACTTACTTTTCCTATCTTTCTTCCCATATTCATATTATTTATATTAACTCTAAATCACATTCCTCTTGCTGTCCTCTTGGATGCTGCTTTTCAACTGTGTTTATTTTAATTTTTTCTATTTGTGTTATTCGTAGTTTGTTAGCTAAAGAAGCCATCTTGTCGAAACGTTAATTGGTTTGTTAAGTCCTTTTGCAGATTTTCCCATATTTTTTTCCTGCGCTAAAATAATAAATTATCGTAGCTTTTAAGAAGCTGATTGTTAATTCTGTCCCTTCACCAGGCATCCGAGTATTGCTTTCAATTTTACAACTAAAGCAATGCCTGAAAGCTTGTAATGTCTTATCCAATATAAGAAAATGGGTTAATTCTTTGGATTGTTTGGAAAAGAATGGTTTGAAAACGAAAATTAATGAACCATAGAATTAAAACTATGAAAGTAAAGTGTTCGTTGACACAAGCGTAGGTAATTCACATTAATCTATTCAGCTGATACATTTTAAGAGTTATTTCCCTTATTTATTACGCTTTAGTTTCACTTCGCAACTTACAGCTCCTATTTTATCAGGTAAGAGGTAACTTTAAGGTGTGAGAGAGGTAAGTTACAGGTGTGAGAGAGGTAACTATAAAGGTGTGATAGGTAACTTAAAGTTGAGAGAGAAGTAATTATAAAGGTGTGTGAGGGGTAATTGAAAGTTGTGTGAGAGGTAACATAAAGGTGTGAGAGGGGAAACTTAAAGGTGTGAGAGGTAACTTAAAGGTGTGAGAGAGGGAACTATAAAGGTGTGAGAGGTAACTGAAAGTTGAAAGAGAGGTTACTATAAAGGTGTGTAATGGGTAATTCAAAGCTGTGTGAGAGGTAACATAAAGGTGTGAGAGAGGTAACTTACAGGTGTGAGAGAGGTAACTTTAAAGGTGTGAGAGAAATAACGTAAGGGTGTGAGAGGTAACTTAAAGGTGTGTGAGAGGTAACTTAAAGGTGTGAGAGAGGTCACATAAAGGTGTGAGAGGTAACTTAAAGGTGTGTGAGAGGTAACTTAAAGGTCTGAGAGGTAACTTAAAGTTTAGAGAGAGGTAACTATAAAGGTGTGAGAGGTAACTTAAAGTTGAGAGAGAGGTAACTATAAAGGTGTGAGAGGTAACTCTAAGTTGAGAGAGAGTTAACTATAAAGGTGTGTGAGGGGAAATTGAAAGTTGTGTGAAAGGTAACATAAAGGTGTGAGAGAGGTAACTTTAAGGTGTGAGAAAGGCAACTTAAAGGTATTAGAGGTAACTTAAAGGTGTGGCAGAGGTAACTTAAAGGTTTGCGAGAGGTAACAATAAAGGTGTGAGAGAGGTAACTTAATGGTGTGAGAGGTAACTTAAATTTTAGAGAGAGGTAACTATAAAGGTGTGAGAGAGGTAACTTAAAGGTGTGCGAGAGGTAACTATAAAGGTGTGCGAGAGGTAACTATAAAGTTGTGAGAGGTAACTATAAAGGTGTTATAGGTAATTTATAAGTGTAAGAGAGGTAACTTTAATGTATGAGAGAGGAAACTTTAAGATATGTGAGAGGTAACTTAAAGGTGTGAGGGAAAAAATTAAAGGTGTGACAGTGGTAACTTAAAGGTGTTGGAGAGATGCAAATACAACAGAGTGAAAAATAGTAGTTTAAAAGCTACAGTCTTAATTATTTTATAAAATTCTAAGTGCACTAATCAATGTAATGTCTATGAATTTCTACGTGACTATATAAAATCTAATATCAAATCTTAGTGCACTACTCTAAAATGTGTGTAAAGATCTAAGTACAGAATTCTGAATAAAAAGACCTTTTAAAAATCCATTTCTGTAACTAATAAGATAAAAGACTCAGACTTTTAGTTTTACCACCGTCATCATGCCAAGAACATCTTTAACAATCTATTTATAAACTGTAGCTCCGTCTTGGATGAGACAATTATCCCATCATCGATTATCTCCCCTTCAAGGGTTGCCATTGTTACATGCAGGCGTCTGTCGTCTGGCTTTCCACTTCCTCTATCAACACCCCAGAGCGTCTTTCGTATGCCGGTGAGAGGAGCTATCATTACTGAACCGAGATAGGGAAGATAATCTCCTCTCGCACGCAAATTGAGATGTACTAACTAGAGTTCGAGAGACGTCGGAAATAGCCAATGATTACCTACGCATAAGACGCCGCCATCTTATTGCCCATTACCGAGTTAACCTCTCCTTCCATTGATTGGCTAATGGGGTTTCGACACAGAACAGGTTTGTCTGGAGTAATGGGTTCCAATTGATAGATTGCTCGTGCGAGAAAGTAATGTTTATTCTGTCATTTTGTCTTACGTGCATGCGTGTAAGTGACGTCGTGTGACTTTAAAAGTCTTTGCTTGGAGCAACGGTTCTCAAACTGTACCGCCTATCTGGATTTAAAAAAAATAATAATAAAGCCGTGTAAAAAAAAATAATCGATTACATCATTTTGTTGTGAGCTGAAAATGAAGATATAAACATTTTTTCTAAAAAAAAAAGTAATAAAATAAAAATAGATCTAAATGAAAGATGAAACTAAAAATACTGATGTGTTTGAGTAGATGCCCTTTAATTTACACCTGGATCTCGTCAGGTGTGTTAAGGTCGACATATCAACTGAGCCAGAGCGAACTATTCGACTTTGTGGAAGTGGACAAGGTGGTGTACGCAGTACACTGTACACTAGTACACTTCTGGCGCACTTTGAAACGCAAGTCTAGTGATGAACGAAAAAAAAAAGATCATAATAAAAATAATATCAACATTTGAATTATTCACTTAACAAATAAAACATTGAAATGGTTCCTAACTTTCAATTCATGGAATTGTGAATAAGAAGAGTAGCCAGAATGATAATGCATACATCATGGGGCCTCACACACATAGGAGAGAGAAGAAAGAGAAAGAGTAAAGATAAAAAGACAAAAAGAGTAAGAGAAGAGAGGGATAGAGAAGAGAGAGAGACAGAGAGAGAAAGAGAGAGAAAGAGAGAGAGAGATGGAAAGAGATAGAGGTAGATACAGAGAGAAATATAAAGAGAGAGAAATTGGGAGATATATATATATATATATATATATATATATGTAGAAAGAGAGATAGAGAAAGAGACAGAGATAGGTAGATATATCGATAGATAGCTAGATGGAAACAGATAGATAGATAGATAATAGATAGATAGATAGATAGATAGATAGATAGATAGATAGATAGATAGATAGATAGATAGATAGATAGATAGATAGATAGATAGATAGATAGATAGATAGATAGATAGATCGATAGATCGATAGAATGATAGATCGATAGATAGATATATAGGTAGATAGGTAGATATGTAGATAGGTAGATAGGTAGATAGGTAGGTACATAGATAGAGAGATAGATAGATAGATATATAGATAGATAGATAGATAGATAGATAGATAGATAGATAGATAGATAGATAGATAGATAGATAGATAGATAGATAGATCGATAGATAGATAGATAGATAGATCGATAGATCGATAGATCGATAGATCGATCGATAGATCGATAGATCGGTAGATAGGTAGATAGGTAGGTAGGTAGATAGGTAGGTAGGTAGGTAGATAGATAGGTAGGTAGGTAGATAGATAGATATAGGTAGATAGATAGGTAGGTAGATAGATAGATAGATAGACAGTCAGACAGACAGACAGACAGATAGACAGATAGACAGATAGACAGACAGACAGACAGATAGATAGATAGATAGATAGATAGATAGATAGATAGATAGATAGATAGATAGATAGATAGATAGATAGATAGATAGATAGATAGATAGATAGATAGACAGATTGACAGATAGACAGATAGACAGATAGATAGACAGATAGATAGGTAGATAGGTAGATAGGTAGATAGGTAGGTTGGTAGATAGGTAGGTAGGTAGGTAGATAGATAGGTAGGTAGATAGATAGATATAGGTAGATAGATAGGTAGGTAGGTAGATAGATAGATAGATAGATAGATAGATAGATAGATAGATCGATAGATCGATAGATCGATAGAATGATAGATCGATAGATAGATATATAGGTAGATAGGTAGATATGTAGATAGGTAGATAGGTAGATAGGTAGGTACATAGATAGAGAGATAGATAGATAGATAGATAGATAGATAGATAGATAGATAGATAGATAGATAGACAGACAGACAGACAGATAGATAGACAGACAGACAGACAGACAGACAGATAGATAGATAGATAGATAGATAGATAGATAGATAGATAGATAGATAGATAGATAGATAGACAGATAGACAGATAGACAGATAGACAGATAGACAGACAGACAGACAGACAGACAGACAGACAGACAGACAGACAGACAGACAGACAGACAGACTGATAGATAGATAGATAGATAGATAGATAGATAGATAGATAGATAGATAGATAGATAGATAGATAGATAGATAGATAGATAGATTGATAGATAGATAGATAGATAGATAGATAGATAGATAGATAGATAGATAGTTCTTGTAATACCAAATTCAATAGGTCTGTTCTCTAGTTTAATTTTTGGAAAAAAACCCTTAGACCTGTTCTTGAAATTAATTTGTCTTTGACATTTTAACTGTACAACCATAACTATCAAATTGAGAACCACTGCTGAACATAATTATTTTTGCGGCAAAATCTATAGGCCCAAGAAATTATTGTTTTCAATAAATCCATATGTTGCAATGTGACATGTGGTATAGCGTTGTGTGTGTATGTGTGTGTGCATGTGTGCGTGTGTGCGTGCGTGCGTGGATGTTAGTGTGGTACTACAGGAAAAGGTAAGTCACCCCCGCTCTAACCGGTGTTAAGTGTCGCGTGACGAAACCAGCTGGGACATTCCTCTTGAAAGACGTGCCGGGGACTGAAGGACGTGTCACTGAAGTAAGCCACAGCTCAAGGTAACGACACAGGTAGGCCTTACTTTCATTTTCTCATACTGCAAGATCACAAGCTGCTACAGTACTTGAAATTTGTTTTTGCTTATTAAAAGGTTTAAAAAAAAAAAATTAATCAAAGAAAATTGTCGTTTTTTTCCCCCTTTCTAAAGAAGGGTCAAAAAGATAACTGATAATTTGATATGGAATCATCGCGTGTTTGACCTAGATAAACCAAAACAATCTATTCACTTTAAAAAGAAAAATTCAATGGGTGTGGACCACAGCATGGAAGAGGCATATTTTAAGGACAATAAAATCCTTGTAATTATATTTAAAAAAAAATAATCATGGCTGTCCAGTGGGACTGTCACAGTGAGGAAACACAAGTGACTGGTTAGTGAGACTGTAAGTGAGACTTTAACTAAAGCTGCGACTTTTAAGGTAAATAACCTGCTAAAATCTTCCGGGTCCCTCCCTGCCCCTGTGTGTAGTGGTGTTTAAATCTATGGTTCTACACGCGTCCAGGTCACGGGCACCTGAGCGGTAAGGACTGCGTGTCGTAGGATCTACTGGATGCTAATGACGAGGGAAGAAAACGTAATCTTGGTGATAAATTATAATCGTCATTCTTAATCAGCTGTACAATTTTGTAGCGCACAAAACCTACAAGTTTCATGATGCTTGTTGGATAATGTCAAACCTTTATTCCAGTTACAAATTTGTGGACTCACTGCAGAGGCGTCTAGAGGGGGGGGGGAGGGGTGGAGGGTTTTAATTTCCACTGCTTAAGTGGGGTGGAGGGGGTTGCCTTCCACCACTCAGAGAACGAAACCTCCGATCCAAGTGTTAGTAAAAAGAAAATTTGGTAGAAAAAATTAATTAAATTAAAATGCCGGTAATCAGTTTGGCAGACGTGGTGACCGAATGAAAAAAAAATCTAGGGGAGGTGCGGACCGCACCGGGTGGCACTATCTCAGGGTAGGACACCAAGGTGAAAAAAATTCATATTTTATTTCTAGGGCACACACTGCCCGGGCTAACTGAAGTTCATAAAGGGATAACCAATCACACGCTCATTGTCCACACATGTAACCAATTCCTAATGCGTGCTTTATTAAAAGTTCAAGGTTGATGCGTCAGAATTTAAAGGTGACCCTATAATTAGGTCAGAAAAACACCGTTTTGACCTATATTCAACGCCGAGTGAGGTGTTCGGTAACTTTCATAAGTCACAGGAAGCTGTCTCACATCTCTCAACAATTTCTCTCTATTATATCACCACTTTTCTCTCTACTGTCAACCACATCTCTCTCTCTATATCACAACTTTCCCTCTATATCACCACTTCTCTCTCTATATAACCACTTCTCTCTCTCTATATCACTACTTTTCTCACCTCTGTCAACCACTTCTCTTTATATACGGCTTTTATGATTGTCATGGACTCCATCATTTTTATATGACTCTTATGATTGCCTTGAAAATGCTGAATAAGAAACGAATTTTTGTCCTTCTCTGGTTTTCCCTGGCACAGTGTATTGTTTTATTTCCTGTTGCTCCAAACCAAACGCAAGCCTCCTCGTATATTACACATAAGTTTGGCGATCCACTTTGGTGGGAATTCAGCTTTGATAATATTCACATTGAATCCCAGCGACATTCATCGTGTCGACGGCGATTGTAAGACCCATTAACATTGCTTATATTTACATTGCTTATAGTAACATTCCTTACATTAGCATTGCTTATATTAAAATTGCTTAAATTAACATTGCTTATTAAACCCATGATCTGTTCCCTGAACTTCCTTGAGACTTTTTGATTAGCAAATACCTTGTCGGTTGTTCTGAGGCTTGTCAGGTAACTTCGATATTCGTAATAATTTCCTATCTACCCTCCAGTGGATGGATTTCCAAACCTTGGAGGATCATGCCACCGTCACTGACATTGTTTCACTCATGTGGGTCACGTTATCAACCCACCAGGCAGTTGACCACAAAAGGAAAAAACCCACCTGAACAATACGAACGGGAAGAGAACTATTTATATGCTGTCAGACATGTTGTCATGACATCTTGCACATGCTGTCAGACATATTGTCATGACATCTTGCACATGCTGTCAGACATGTTGTCATGACATCTTATATATGCTGTCAGACATATTGTCATGACATCTTGCACATGCTGTCAGACATATTGTCATGACATCTTGCACATGCTGTCAGACATATTGTCATGACATCTTGCACACGCTGTCAGACATATTGTCATGACATCTTGCACATGCTGTCAGACATATTGTCATGACATCTTGTACATGCTGTCAGACATATTGTCATGACATCTTGCACATGCTGTCAGACATATTGTCATGACATCTTGCACATGCTGTCAGACATATTGTCATGACATCTTATATATGCTGTCAAACATATTGTCATGACATCTTGCACATGCTGTCAGACATATTGTCATGACATCTTGCACATGCTGTCAGACATATTGTCATGACATCTTGCACATGCTGTCAGACATATTGTCATGACATCTTATATATGCTGTCAGATATATTGTCATGACATCTTTCACATGCTGACAGACATATTGTCATGACATCTTATATATGATGTCAGACATATTGTCATGACATCTTTCACACGCTGTCAGACATATTGTTATGACATCTTATATATGCTGTCAGACATATTGTCATGACATCTTGCACACGCTGACAGACTTATTGTCATGAAATCTTGCACATGCTGTCAGACATATTGTCATGACATCTTGCACATGCTGTCAGGTTTATTGTCATGAAATCTTGCACACGCTGACAGACTTATTGTCCTGACATCTTGCACATGTTGTCAGGCTTATTGTCATGACATCTTGTGCATGCTGTCAGGCTTATTGTCATGATATCTAGCACATGCTGTCAGGCTTATTGTCATGACATTTTGCACATTATCAAATCTCGAATCTAAATTCGTTTCTTAGAATCCTTTATTGCAGGGCTCCTATAAATTGTGGTCCACGGACCAGTACCGGTCCGCCAGCCTTACGTTGCCGGTCCGCCAGCTTTACGTTGCCGGTCCGCCAGCCTTACACTGCCGGTCTGAACAACATGAATATCTATTGTCAAATAAAACTAAAATATATTTAAAATATCCGGCACGGGTCCTTAGTGCAATTTTGAAACTTTTCCAACGGTCCACCAAACTTAAAAGTTTGAGAAAGGCTGATCTGTTGTATTCTTATGATTTTGACCGTACAGTACCTGGCTGTATATTTTTTTTCTTCTTCAAATTTTCAAACTCTTTTGTTCAATATTTCAAATGTTCCTTATCTCGTCAGTGCAACACACCCACCACAGAAATGTGCATTGAGAACACAGCTTAACGAAAGGGGAATTGGGCCATTTCATATCCCCCCTCTCCCCGCTTTTTCCCAACTACGGGCCGTAACCCAAAGTTCTTTGGCAAACGAAAGACACAGTCATATAAAGAAGCACTTTCTTTATCAGGAAACAACGTATGAATTAGTTGAACTGTTTTATTTGCCAAACGATAATCAATTGGTATGTTGATGGTATCATCTTGGCATGGACTATTTTAGAAATTAAGTCAGTCATTTTCTGACCGTAATGGGGAAAAAATGGGGAGGGGGGTGCATTTATATGACAATCCTGGAGGGGGGGTGCATCATTTATATGGCAATCCTGGAGGGGGGTGCATTTATGTGGCAATCCTGGAGGGGGGTGCATTTATGTGGCAATCCTGGAGGGGGGTGCATTTATATGGCAATCCTGGAGGGTGGTGGGTTGTGTCAAATGTAATCATATTTTTGTGAGACACAGCGTGCTATATCTTTAAGTTTCAAAGCACTGTATGAAAGTGAAGTCTATTATTTCAAGTGACGAGGCCTCTGATTCATTGCATTGTGTGTTTTTGCTTGACATCCTGGCATTCTTAAGTTGACCAATCTAGTTCTGTGGGAATCCATTCTCTAATATCACCTGGTTGAGAAATAATTCATTTTGTCACCAGGACCGTCGATTGAATTTTAAAAAAATAAAATAATTTTAGCTAGCGATAAACTTTAAAACACATCTAAAACTTTGTTGACCATATACCACTTTGTTGACCATGTACCACTTTGTTGACCATGTACCACTTTGTTGACCATGTACCTCTTTGTTGACCATATACCACTTTGTTGACCATGTATTACTTTGTTGACCATGTACCACTTTGTTGACCATGAACCACTTTGTTGACCATGCACCTCTTTGTTGACCATATACCACTTTGTTGACCATGTATTACTTTGTTGACAATGTACCACTTTGTTGACCATGTACCACTTTGTTGACCATGTACCTCTTTGTTGACCATATACCACTTTGTTGACCATGTACCACTTTGTTGACAATGTACCACTTTGTTGACCTTGTACCAGCATCAGAAGGACGGGGTCACGATCTCAAATGTGTGATCATGTTAAACCCTGGGGACAGCCGGCGGACGGAATGTCGAAATGAATGTTGTTTGAAATCTTAGTAGCAACAAGTGAGTCATCCAGCTCACCAAATGTCACTTGATATTATCACATAGAAGCTCTTAGTTTTAAACAAAATTATTTGATACATCACTGCAGCTGTCGCCGGTTTTGTTGTTGTTGTTGTTGTTGTTGTTGCTTTCATATCAAGGTCAAGGGTGAACATTTGATCCAACTTTGATAGTGAACTATATCAAGTCAAAGTGATCCAATTCTTAGTGGCTGTGCAACAGCCCGAGATAAGCTTTATGGACGGTCAAGTCCCTCAACATTTCATTCTGATACAGCTGTTGAAAAACTGTTTAAATACTACAAATGTAATGCAGGGATGTTAGGGCATTGAAAAGTTACCGACTGGATAATTCTGTTAACAATTACATTACACGAAATAGGATTGCTGATATCAATGAGCGCCTCGTATGCTAGTGTCTGTTGGAATTCACCGTAATTCATATCGATATATAACTGCGATAACGCAGTAACTCATTCCTACACATAACTTGCAATAACTCACATCTGAATTCAATGATTCCTTGCCCTTGCATAAGTTCACTGGTGCCCAACCCTTAGATAGGTTCAATGGTTCCCAAAACTAAGATGTGTTTAATGGTGCACAACCCCAAACGTGCATCATCATATCCTCATGTCTCACTTTACCCACCACAAATCCATTTACCCCCCACATATCCATTTACCCACCACAAATCCATTTACCCACCACAAATCCATTTACCCACCACAAATCCATTTACGTTATAATTTTTCAAGAAACAATAAAAAGTTTATAAAATATATTGTTAGCAATGCCATAAAGCCCCCCCCCTCCCCCCACACACTTTCTTTCCCCCCACATTCCAAGACCTCACAGAACGAACACGTCGGTGCACGTAGTTGGATTGCCACTCAAGTTAAGACCAACACGATTTGCGTAGTAGCAGCTCGTAAAAACAAACTCAGCAATTATAGCGCCTGACATTAAGGACGATGACATTCTCAGCTTATGTCATCGTACCGATCACAGATAGCAGAACTTGTGCAACATTTTAGCACGAATAGAACGTCGGACCGAATGTCTGTCTATTTGATGATTCGATCCAGACATTGGACGTTATTGCTAAGAAGATGATGGCACGAATTAACTCATTTCACAAGAACTTAATCGAATGTAGATATTGAATCCACGGGGAAAGCAGGGCGACAATGAGCTGTTATTTTGTATCTAAAGAAGTTTTTATATCACGTGATGCCCATTATCATCCACTAAAATTAATGGTCTCCAATACAAAATTTTAAAATAGTCTACGTAAATTCGCGTAGTTACATGAAAATAATTGTTTCGTTGTGTTTATGGAAAACAATTATTTTGTGGTTGCATTTATGGAATTCAATCTAATGGCATTTGGAAGAGGTTTTGGAAAGCTCTAAAAACATAAGTAATAATATAGCAGAACTGATCTCATGAGAGACTAATTGGGTTTGTGACTGAAAGATTTTGCCTAACTCATTATTACACGACTGAGACAATGAAACCGAGTGACAATGCGGTGTCAGAAACTGGCATCTATGGGGGTGAGCTGACATTTGCTGAGTGACAATACGGTGTCAGAAACTGGCATCTATGGGGGTGAGCTGACATTTGCTGAGTGACAATGCGGTGTCAGAAACTGGCATCTATGGTGGTGAGCTGACATTTGCTGAGTGACAATACGGTGTCAGAAACTGGCATCTATGGGGGTGAGCTGACATTTGCTGAGTGACAATGCGGTGTCAGAAACTGGCATCTATGGGGGTGAGCTGACATTTGCTGAGTGACAATACGGTGTCAGAAACTGGCATCTATGGGGGTGAGCTGACATTTGCTGAGTGACAATGCGGTGTCAGAAACTGGCATCTATGGTGGTGAGCTGACATTTGCTGAGTGACAATACGGTGTCAGAGACTGGTGGGATCTATGGTGGTGAGATGACATTTGCTAAGGGACACAACTGTGTCAGAGACTGGTGGGATCTATGGTGGTGAGATGACATTTGCTAAGGGACACAACTGTGTCAGAGACTGGTGGGATCTATGGTAGTGAGATGACATTTGCTAAGGGACACAACTGTGTCAGAGACATGCTTCTACCGGAGAGAGATGCGATTTGCCGGCACCTGATTTAAGTAACCATGGTTACAGGGCGTTCACTTTGCTTTATTGATATGCGTCATAAATTGATCTTGTTCAACTGTCTGTGAAGTACTTCACACGTGCCTGGGTTGAATCTCTCCCTGTGATAGTCGTGGAAACACAAAGGGGCAAGAGAAATACGGGAAGGACTGCATTCACTTTGAACCAATGCGAGAATGACAATGCAATTAAACCAACCCTAAAAATAAAGATTTTTGCATAAACCCTTTATATGCATTTTTTTTCCTTCTTCTTTTTTTTAATATTGATATTCTAATGACCCACCAACTTTTAAACCGCAGATTAATTTCACCAACTGTTTCAGGAAAAAAAAAAAATATATTATGCACCAAACGCATTTGCGATATTAAAAAGAACAACAGAATCTCATTTAGAGCGGTTATCGGTAGTGTTATTTCGTGAAATCAGTGTCATCATATTTTCTTCATATAAACTTATATAGAAAAATAACAGGGGAAAACTAATTTTTTGGGGTTTGTGTTGAGACTGAACATTTGATAGAATGTGTTGTCATCGACAACGAGTCTATCTGCTAAGTTTCAGTTCGATAGGTTGACGTGAAGTGGGCCAATTAGCCGATCGAAGATTTTGCCCTAAACACACAAAAAGAGAAGTATAATATCGAGGATTTAAAAAAAGCGGGAGTTTCTCCCATGAAGCCGTCGACAGCAAACAATGGAAAGAAAAAAAGAAAGAAATCATAGACAGACAAACTCAGCATGTAGATATGTAGCCTGCAGAAATGGAAGACATATTTAATTAGTCAAGCCTTACCCATGAAATCTAAACAAAATTGGGTAAGAGATTAACAGGAAACGTAAAAGATTATAAATAAATTGGTCAAATCAAATAAGATAAGATTAAGGGGGGAAAAGACGATTGCTGTATAACAGCGAGGACTGTGTAAGTAAGGTTAGCAAGGATAGCGGGTATGAGGCAAATATCATGGCAAGAGCATAGAAGGCAGACGGGCTCTTGGTTTACCTTCAGATATTTGGAACTCTAGTCAAGTGACGGTGGAACAGACACGTGAAGAGAAATACAAAGCTTTTACAGAATAAACCCAAGAAACGCGTGCTATGTTGTGACAGACGCAGATCCTACGATGAATTACTCAAGGTCATATGACTTTGGGTGGGGCACGTGACCCTTAGAATCACAAAAGACTCTCTAAGCCAAACGTAATGCAAAGGCTGCTCTCTCCAAAGATTTACGACAGTTTTCCTCTCACTCTCAACTAGCCATCATCCTTTTTTTTTTAATTGATAGTTAATCAGAAGTAGTTTATATATAGATATTTATTAAGCAGACGTTATTGAGATATATGGCTTGTCAGTTAATGGCTAAATCTATTAATAGAACTGATGTCATCATCCGGGTTCTCGGGTCGGGAAGAATGTCAGCGCTCTTCATTACTGCTGTGTAAGAGAAGAGGCCCTTGACCTAAAGCAAAACTTGTTTACAACGAAATGTTACGAAATATTTTACACACTATTTTTTTTTACGGATATTTTTGTGAAATGGGACTTCATTGCGCCACATGTAGCAGTGACTCTAGATACAAGGATCGTACGAACGCTATGCTGAAACACACTATTAGCTGCCATAGTTTTAAGAAATAGTTGTCCGATGTACTAAAAATAGTAACGCTATGACATTTTCTGGTCTGAGAAATGACAAACCTTATTGATAGCAAGAAATCTCCATTTGAGTCCCACGTTTGGTGTGACCGCCTAGCTATAATTATCTCCCTTTCCCCGGAACACTTTTTTAAAAATTTTATTTTTTTAAATGAACCACTTCATCAATGTTGTCTTCAGTCAGATGGTTAGAGGGATTGAAGGAATGCGTACATTCGAAGCACTTTAAGTAAACAAACCTTCTAGAGTCTAGAGGTTGACTAGGGATTTATGACCAGTCCGCTCCCATACGTTCAGCAGTAAAACAAACACACTTGAGAAGGTGGGGGCCGGTAACGAGGGTCAGGGGAGACGATGTAACGGTACGTGCCCGGATATACATTTTGATGGGAGTAAGTAGGCAACACTGCAGTCAGAACAAGGTTTCTCAACTTATTTTGCATAGTAAACAAAAAAAAATTAATTACTGTCTCGCATCATGACCATTTCTAGCGTTTTTCTTGCGTTAAAAATAGCTCTTCATGACACTGCACACAATTAAGTGACGTTTCTGTAGTGTATATTTTAGTAGTGTTATTTTAGTATATATTTTGAGTGTATATTTGAGTGTATATTTGAGTGTATATTTGAGTGTTTATTTGAGTGTATATTTGAGTGTGTATTCGAGTGTACATTTGAGTGTATATTTGAGTGTATATTTGTGTGTACATTTGAGTGTATATTTGAGTGTATATTTGCGTGTACATTTAAGTGTATATTTGAGTGTATATTTGAGTGTATATTTGAGTGTACATTTGAGTGTATATTTAAGTGTACATTTGAGTGTACATTTTAGTGTATATTTGAGTGCATATTTGAGTGTACATGCCACGAACAGAGTTATTTCAAACCTCGTTATTTCCTGGTTTCACTGCTCCAACTCACTAGATGTAAACATGTTTAGTGTTTGTTTTTTTGGGGGGAGACCGGGGTGATATGGTGTGTAAAGCCATATTAAATAAACCCAAAGTAATTCCCTATCTGAAGCCATGTGTTTGATCATTTCAGTTTTGAAACAGACGACGAGAATGACCAAACAAACCATCGACCAATGGAAAGAGTTGTTTGCAGCAGCCGACAAGGACAAGAGCGGCACCCTGGACGTCCTTGAACTCAGAGACATGCTCAGACGGGGCAACAGTAAGATGACCGACTCACAGATCGCCGTATGTGCAGCGCCATTCATATTTCAACTTTCATGCATATCATATGTATAACATCCTATAATTGTCAGTAGCAGCTTTGCATAGCTTACCGAATAACGGCGTTAGAAATCAGTTGAACAGCCGATGTGGCGCCAGAGTCGGTTCGTACTTGGGCTGTTGAGTGGGTTGGGACGGTGTGTCAGATCGTTCAGTTGGGTCGGGTGTGCATGGGTTGTTTAGTGGGTTGGGACGGTGTGTCAGATCGTTCAGTTGGGTCGGGTGTGCATGGGTTGTTGAGTGGGTTGGGACGGTGTGTCAGATCGTTCAGTTGGGTCGGGTGTGCATGGGTTGTTTAGTTGGCTTGGACGGTGTGTCAGATCGTTCAGTTGGGTCGGGTGTGCATGGGTTGTTTAGTGGGTTGGGACGGTGTGTCAGATCGTTCAGTTGGGTCGGGTGTGCATGGGTTGTTTAGTGGGTTGGGACGGTGTGTCAGATCGTTCAGTTGGGTCGGGTGTGCATGGGTTGTTGAGTGGGTTGGGACGGTGTGTCAGATCGTTCAGTTGGGTCGGGTGTGCATGGGTTGTTGAGTGGGTTGGGACGGTGTGTCAGATCGTTCAGTTGGGTCGGGTGTGCATGGGTTGTTGAGTGGGTTGGGACGGTGCGGGGATCACGTAAAGTTGCTTGAAATGAATATATAGAAATTTCAATAAACACAAACAAATCATCAAAAAGGGAGTAACTGCTGATGGCACTTAAGATTGTGGAAAAATGGCGCACCTTGACAAATATTCTTTAAACTTTTAAGATAAAAGGAAGCGTGTGGATTTTTTAAAATAAAAAAAATTTAATTACGTTGCCACCAAAAATAGCATCACCTATTAGAATAGCACCATAATAGAATAACACCATATTAGAATAGCACCATATTAGAATAACACCATATAAGAATAGCGTCATATTAGAATGGCACGTTATAAGAATATAACTATGTTACAGTCCAATCAATAAAGCTTAAGTTATAAGTTAAATACAAACGAATGGCGATTAAAAAAATCTGTTACCTTAGAAACAGTTGACATACGATCTATTGATAATATATTATTGGAAAATGTTTATTTGCTATTTTGAGATACCAGGGAGTTTGAAATATGTATTCCATAAAAGGCCAACAATATGCATCAGGAAACTTACAATAAACTTAAAAACTGGGCCATAAAAACTTATTTCTTTGACATTTAACAAAAATAAAAAATAAAATAAATGCTCTTTAGGCCTGAACTTCAAAACAATGACACACCAAGAGGGCAGATTTTGTGCACAGATGTTGTTGATATTCATTGGCTTTCAGATATCCCATTAGGCATATCACATTTTTACCTTGAAAACCATATTGACTGCAGCCGTTACATGTAACAGTGAGAAAAGTAATTACATGCACCATTAGACGGGGAAACAGATGGTTGGATGTCTGCATTCTTGCATAACGATGTCATAGATTTAGTCCCCGTGCGGTTGGCCAATGGTTTACTGAAACGTTTGGCAAGGTTGAGAGTTGTTGGAATATTGATTGATATTACCGCAGATCGAACAGATTGGTTAAGTGGTTGAATAACAAATGGTTGGCGATGGGGAAACTAAAGGTTTCCAAGTTTAGTTACAATAAGACTTCACTATTTGGTCGGAACAGCAGTGATGTTTTAAAGGAGCGATGTTAACAGTAAGGTTAACAAAGTCAAACTCGTCAATATATTACTAGACTTAAAACTGATATTGTTTAGACTTTGAAAAAAGGTTTTTTTTTAAGGTGACAAATAGCATGTATTGTAAATAAATCATTGGGATTGCATTTCACATTATCGTTCAGAAGCAAGAAACTATTAAATGACATGCATCCATGACATGCCTATATCACTATGTACATATTAAAAAGATCTTGTGCTAAAGAAAGTCATTATGAAATATCCTTTTTTTTCCCCCTTTAAATTTTGACTACATGGGAAATAACTGACCTTAAAATTGGTATTTAGGCAGATACCAGAGTCACTAGCTCACCTCTGTGCCCTCTTCTTTAATTGAGATGCATGATGTAATAATGTAATGATTTAATGATGTAATAATCTAACAACTTTAATTTTTTTGTTGTTCATTGGTTGGTTTGTGTCAATTTCTTTAAGAGTTAAAAAAAATAATAACCACCCTGTGACGTCATAGCGAGGTCACATTTCAATTATTAATCATTATTCACTGTTAGGGACGTCAATGGGGTAGGGCAGCGTGGGGTATTTGGCCCCTCCCTGAATTTGCAGGGTTTTATTTAAATTGGTATTGATCTGCGGCGCCACCATTAATAAACAACTTAACAAGCCAACCAAGTTTTGATTTTTGCCCACCCCCCTCCCGAAAAAACCTGAAATGACGCCCCTGTTCACTGATGGGGTATTTGATTGATTTTTTATGCATATTGCAATCAAATCAGAACAGTGGATGAATTTTATTTCGGCCAGATCCCGTCCGCCAAGCCCTCATTGATTATGCACTAACTCATCTTATGTGATTTTTATTTCATTGCTAAATTCTTAAAGCATTAAGTCTTAGAATATTTAAAGGTTCTCAAGTCTCCACCCCCACCCCCCAACAAACCCATTTAAAAAAATATATTTTTATATATCCTTTTTATTCAATGACCAAATAGGGTGCTTCGTTGTTAAAGAGGCATAACTTACAATTCATTTAAATTTCTTTATATTCAGAAATGGTTACTGCCCTTATTTGAATGCTGCCTGAAGTGCTAGGTTAAATTAAATAATTATTACAACTTGTAATTGAATGACCTCAATGACTAAAACATTCTATCTGCAGGATGCCTTTGTTTATTTTGATGGACCCAAGGGAGACAGAAGGATAACTCTGGAGGAATTTGTCAAAGGAATGAACAATCTGAATGATTTGTACGTATGAACTAAACTGTGTTAGGGAAGTATGGCAAATTGTGTAGGGGCACTAGTGCATATTGTGCAAGGGAACTATGACATTTTGTGTAGGGGAACTAGTGCATATTGTGCAGGGGAACTATGACATATTGTGTAGGGGAACTAATGAATATTGTGTAGGTGAACTATGGCACATCGTGTAAGGGAACTATGGCACATCGTGTAGGGGAACTAAGGCATATTGTGTAGGGAACTATAGCATAACTGTGTAAGGAACTAGTACATCTAGTTCTTTTCGCTCTCTGTTGATATCTGATTTCACCCTAGTCCATATATTCCTTACTGATATTTTCAGCATTGCCAAGTTGTCCGCACTGTTCAAGCAGTATGACAATGACAACAGTGGCTACCTGGACAAAAATGAACTGAGAAAAGTCCTGGAGGCTTCTGGCCACAAGTTCACAGATGCAGAAGTCAATGAAATATTACGGAATGCAGACAGCAGTGGGGACGGGAAAATCTCCTTTGAAGAATTCTTGGACGCCTGCACATAATGAGGCGGTTCGTTCCAAGAAATGAGAACGATTTCCAAATATATTTAACTTGCTCAATATCGTTTAAAATAGTAAACACTTTTTATTTGACAACAATGTTTCAATAACATCTATAAAATAATGACGACAATTTCAAATACTATATTTTGTAGTTTTTGTGTGAATTGGAACACTAGAAACTAGCCAACTTTAGAATTTTAGCTTTTCCTTTGCCAGGTACTCGTAGACATGGTCACACAGTATTTGGCTGGGGATACTGCCATTTTAATTAGTAGCCTTCATTGGATACATCTAGACACCACGTGATCCCATTCAAGTTAAAGATTATTTTAAAATAATTGTCATTTTCTTCATCAATTCATATTCAAATAAAACATAAATATATTGAATATTAGAGTTTGTTTCAACTTTTTCTATGGCAACTAGTTTAAACGTTTTAATTTTTGTTAAAAATTGTAGACTTATTTGTTGTTTTTTTCCTTCATTTCATTCTCCATTTAATGATGCTCCCGCTACTCACAAAAAGGCTATCCTCTCTCTATATACATTGCCATTCTATGTATGTGTATATGTCGGTTATAGACTATCGGGAGAGGTCTTTAAAAACAGCTACATTTTCTAACAATATCAAAACCAATTAACTCATCTCTGAGTGGTGGAAGTGAAATTTTAACAAGATAGTTTATGTAGGTTAACATTTTAAAGGAAACCAGTTTGAAGAAATTGAATGAGTTGTGTCCCTGGATTCAAGTCTTATTATTTTTTCTGTGATTATGTTAATTACAGATACATTTTCGAAGTGAGAAAATCGAGTTGGTATAAAATTTTGGTGGATAGAGGGAGGCCTAAAGGTCTCAGTTGGAAAGGTGTTGGAAAATCTCAGAGTTAATGCGATATGCACCAAATGTCTCAGAATTGATGAGAGGTGCATCAGATGTCTCAGAGTTGATGTGATATGCACCAAATGTCTCAGACTTGATGCGAGATGCAGCAAATTTCTCAGAGTAGATGAGAGTTGCACCAAAGAAGCATGGTCTCAACTCATAAATCAAGGTGAAAACCCAAGAAAAAAGTCATTTGAAAAGTCTACACCTGTATCATCTCAAAGGACATAAGATTGACGTCCGTCTACACCTGTATCATCTCTACGGACATAAGATTGACGTCCGTCTACACCTGTATCATCTCCACGGACATGACATAAGATTGACGTGGACATAAGAATGGCGTGGACATAAGATTGACGTGGACATAACATTGACGTGGACATAAGATTGACGTGGACATAAGATTGACGTGGACATAAGATTGACGTGGACATAAGATTGACGTCCGTAGATGACGGATGCACTGACGGGTCATTGGGGAGGGGGGAGGGGGCATGTCGATGTTGGTGACTTTGAGTACGGGTGAATATGCGGGGGTGGGGGAGGGAGGTCTCCAAAGAAGTTGTACGTGTATTTTAATGCACAGATTCTGCCATAACTTTCCTGATAAAAATATTTGAAGCTCGTGAGTTCTAATGATTTTACAAACAAGCTCTAACAGATTCTGCCATAACTTTCCTGATAAAAATATTTGAAGCTCGTGAGTTCTAATGATTTTACAAACAAGCTCTAACAATGACGCAGCATTGTTTCGTAAATGTCGTCATTCTGTTGTTTTTGTGTTAAAAAACAACAACAAATCTCTCGCTAGAAATAGCAACATTTATAAATAGCAACAGTTATAAATAGCATAGTGACAACTTATGACGTGTTGGGTCGAGTGTTTAAATCAAATTTAAAGAAATCTGTGCACCATGACCTTTTTATGGTTTGGATACTAAGAACATAAGCATTCTTGTACCAGGAAAACATGTCTGCTACGGGTGCGGAGCAACAGTAGCTTCCCCTAGCACAGTATGATGATTAAGTACTTTTTATAGCGCTTGTGTCCGTGCCATTCTAGCAAGCTCACAGCGCTCTGATGTCCTAAAATCTAAAGAAAAAAGTATTTAAATGGTTCCTAAATGACTTTTTGTCATTTTCAATGTCCCTGAAAGATTGAGGCAAACGGCTTCCCCATTTAGGCGCAATAGCTTCAAAAGAGCGCACTCCGTATGACTTCTTTCTGGGTCCAGCCACACTGGGAACGCTCAGTAAGCAACAGTAGCTTCCCGTAGCACGGTAGCTTCCCTTAGCACAGTAATACTATTTTATATTGGCGTCTTTTGTAGACAAGGAAAAGATTATATCTAAATGGTGTTACCATGAAGAGCATTATTCAAATTATTATTTTGTTCAACATCTAAATAATTTCAAATAGAATAATATACTGTCCAATAAAGACGCCTTTACGACAGCTTCTTCTCGCGTTCAGTTGGTCTCTGCTACGGCAAGCATCCTCTTGTAGATCAAGGCATCACATTAGACGGTTTTGATGGTCAAGTAGCACCAGATTTTGATCGCGATATTTCATGAAATGGATCATCCTCACTGATTGTACATTAATCTTTGCTAACTTTCTTAACTTAATTTTTAAAAAATTTAAAGTGACCGCTGAAATTGAAAATAATCCTCCCGTCACACCCTTGGGTCAATTTAAAGATTATTGTGAAAAGTGGGGTGGGGGGGGGGATAGTTTAGTCACGGGGAGGGGTGGTATTTACATTTCAAAAGTGGGCGGGGCAATGCCAGATAGGATCGGGATTTATTAATTAAAACATTTTAGGCGCTCAGTTGGGGGCAAACAAACATTTCAAAAACAAAAACAATTATTTATAGAGTCAGTAGACCATGCATATGTTATATGTTAAATATTTTTTGTATTTGCTCTTGTAGTTAGCCTTCAGTTAAATCCTCCGGTGAGTATGTAAGTTGTAGATACAATAAATAATAAACAAAAGCAATTTTCAGATTTTTTTTTTTCAGATTTATTATACTTCCGTGTAACAGGAGCATAAAAAATAATGGCAATGATATTGATATAATATACATTTCTGTAAAGTATTCAATAAATATGGTGACTAAATTCTTAAACGGCAAAACAAGGTGGCTTAACACTTAAACAACAATCATGGGGTGACTTAACACTTTGAAGATATACATGGTGACTTAACAAGTAGACGACAAACACTTGAACGACAAAACAAGGTGGCTTAACACTTGAACGACAAACATGGATGACTAAACAGTTTGATGATAAATAAATGGTTGCTAAAGAAATACCCTATGAACATAATGGTGTTTTAGAGGAAAGGTGCCCAAAGTTTCGGTCAACTTGTAAATGCACGGGCTCTGAATCACTCACTCGTCCCAAAGCTGAGCATCTGAAAAACAAAACTTTGGTTTCGAGATTGCACGCAAATGGTTTTCGTCAAGGTCGAAGTATTTGCCGAATCTCGTCTGCTGAAGTCTTGTTTGGTCAAGAACCAGAAAATTGGTCCGATAAATAAATTAGGTAGTTCAAAAAGTTAAATCCAACCCGAGGAGAAATCCATACCCTAGAGGAATCCATACCCTAGAGGAATCAATACCCCCAGAGAAGTATTGCATTGTCTTTCTCGCCGTGGAGCCGAGAGTTGCTGAAATCAACGCATAATAGGAAAGCAGCTCCCGACGGGTCCATACACAGGGTGCTTCTCATAGGGGCGCTGGACGTAGCAGTAGGACGCATATTCACACGGGCACACGTCTGTCTTCTTCCACAGCTTCACGGGTCGGATCCTGCCGTTGTGCCTGACCCTGGCGTAGCATCTGTCGAACGTCGAGCCCGTGTTACTGCACCGCCCACGCAGACAACAGCCGCCGTGTCCACACTGTGCACTCCTGGTGCAAGCCTTCGCTGAGGTAGATGGCGATTGGACGGTCAAGTTGTCCATGTAATCAGACAGCTGCCCGTGACCGGCTGCGGAGACCTGGTAGGAATAAACAGACACGGGATGTTTATGATGGTTTATAAACTTTAGGAGACTGACATAAATCGTACATGGGCTTTTCTATCGTAATGTCACGGTGTCATAATCACTTGCATTTTATCTCATTGCACTCAGACTTTAGGGGCTTAAGCTAAAAAGTACACGATTATTTTATAGTTCACTGCTGGGGGAACAGTGATGTTTGTCCGCGAAACTTCAGACAGTTCAATGTCCTCACTGAGGAAAGTGCTTTTGTACTTTTATTTGTTCAGTTATTGAATCACAAATGAGTGTCACTGGCCTCCCTCCCCCCCCCCCCCCCCCCCCTGGGAACAGTGATGTTTGTCCGCGAAACTGCAGACAGTTCAATGTCCTCACTGAGGAAAGTGCTTTTGTACTTTTATTTGTTCAGTTATTGAATCACAAATGAGTGTCACTGGCCTCCCTCCCCCCCCCCCCAACACCGACACTCGTACTCGTGTATCATTCACCAGAACAATTCTCTTAGTGGTGCGCAGCGAGTGAAACATGTAAGACGTCATAAAATCTCTGTATGAACTTGACACGCGCTGAGTTTAGCACTGACGTCAGAGGTAGTGAGGAATCAGTGGGAGGAGTAGTGAAGAATGTTACGTCATTCACAAACACAAAAAGAGATTAAAGTACAGGAATAGTGGCCCGATGGTATTTTGTTTACAATGTGGGAATAGCTCATCACTGGTGGAGTAGATTATCTGGTTATTACAATGTGGGAATAGCTCGAGACTGCTGGAGTAGATGATCTGGTGTTTAAAATGTGGGAATAGCTCATCACTGGTGGAGTAGATTATCTGGTTTTTACAATGTGGGAATAGCTCGAGACTGCTGGAGTAGATGATCTGGTGTTTAAAATGTGGGAATAGCTCATCACTGGTGGAGTAGATGATCTGGTGTTCACAATGTGGGAATAGCTCATGAATGATGGGGTAGATGATCTGGTGTTTACAATGTGGGAATAGCTCATGAATAATGGAGTAGATGATCTGGTGTTTACAATGTGGGAACAGCTCATGACTGATGGAGTAAATGATCTGGTGTTTACAATGTGGGAACAGCTCATGACTGATGGAGTAAATGATCTGGTGTTTACAATGTGGGAATAGCTCATGACTGATGGAGTAGATGATCTGTTGTTTACAATGTGGGAATAGCTCATGACTGATAGAGTAGATGATCTGGTGTTTACAATGTGGGAATAGCTCATGACTGATTAGCTCATCACTGGTGGAGTAGATTATCTGGTTATTACAATGTGGGAATAGCTCGAGACTGCTGGAGTAGATGATCTGGTGTTTAAAATGTGGGAATAGCTCATCACTGGTGGAGTAGATTATCTGGTGTTTACAATGTGGGAATAGCTCGAGACTGCTGGAGTAGATGATCTGGTGTTTAAAATGTGGGAATAGCTCATCACTGGTGGAGTAGATGATCTGGTGTTTACAATGTGGGAATAGCTCATGACTGATGGAGTAGATGATCTGGTGTTTACAATGTGGGAATAGCTCATGACTGATGGAGTAGATGATCTGGTGTTTACAATGTGGGAATAGCTCATGACTGATAGAGTAGATGATCTGGTGTTTACAATGTGGGAATAGCTCATGACTGATGAAGTAGATGATCTGGTGTTTATAATGTGGGTAAAGCTCATGACTGATAGAATAGATGATCTGGGGTTTACAATGTGGGAATAGCTCATGACTGATGGAGTAGATGATCTGTTGTTTACAATGTGGGAATAGCTCATGACTGATAGAGTAGATGATCTGGTGTTTACAATGTGGGAATAGCTCATGACTGATGGAGTAGATGATCTGGTGTTTATAATGTGGGTAAAGCTCATGACTGATAGAATAGATTATCTGGTGTTTACAATGTGGGAATAGCTCATGACTGATGGAGTAGATGATCTGGTGTTTATAATGTGGGTAAAGCTCATCACTGATGGAGTAGCATCAATTTTTTTAAAGGTGGAATAAACAAGTTCAGAATTTGACACAAGACTGGCTGGAGGGCCCTTTTTCACGCAATATTTTAAACAGCCATCGGATAGACACGAAATGCTCCAGCAATAACCAACACGCTGACTATCTGTAAGGTTCACTTGACAGCCCTGATACTACCCACCTGCGTATTTAACAACGCCATCACCATACCAACTAGTATGAAGTTCGGTACCCCCTAGGTTAGTTTCTGTTACAAAGAACGGGGCCCCCCTCAGTCTCGTCTGGCTTTCACAGTTCGGCCACTTTTTGAGCAACGCCCAGAGGCCTTCATCACGCATGAGCTCACCAGTAAAATTTTGTTTTTTATTCCACATGAGCGCTTACGTAAGAGTGTAAGTGTCTCTTTGTACCCCTCCCCTCGTCCGAAACCTGGTATCCTATGATCGTAATATACCCTTTCACTACTTTTGTTATGACAGTCTGACAGTCGTAAAACAGTCTATTAGAGTTCTCATCGTTTGTATGGACGGCGGTAGAACAGTCTTATAGAGTTCTCATCGTTTGTATGGACGGCGGTAGAATAGTCTTATAGAGCTCTAGCAGGGTTCATGGACGGCGGTAGAACAGTCTTATAGAGTTCTCATTGTTTGTATGGACGGCGGTAGAACAGTCTTATTTGCTCTAGCAAGGTTCATGGACGGCGATAGAACAGTCTTATAGAGTTCTCATCGTTTGTATGGACGGCGGTAGAACAGTCTTATAGAGTTCTCATCGTTTGTATGGACGGCGGTAGAACAGTCTTATAGAGCTCTTGCAGGGTTCATGGACGTCGGTTACACAAAGGGAGATAGCTCCAAGTAAGCTGAAATGTGACATTCCAATTTCAAAGAGAGTAATCATGTTTTATACCATTATAACTGACTGGGAAAGAGACATTTATATATATACACACACACACATATTGTAAAAGGTTTGATTTCTTTTTCTATTTTAACACTAATTTAAAAGTCTTTAAAATGACTTAATGCTGAATTGAAGTCATTATGGAGTTTGACTGATGCAATCCACAAGTTCCATGATATAAATAAGAACAATCTTGCTTCATTCAAGTTTATTTTTAAATTAATGATGGAACACATTGTCATAATGGACTGCATCTCTACAACATCGTCCACCTTTTAGGAGACATTTTAATTTAATTCCACTTCAACTAGATTTGGTAACTTTTCAATATATTTGTTTGGTAATTGTTCAATATATTTTTTAAATTAATTCAATATCAATATCAATATATTTGTTTAATAATTCTTCCATATAATTGTTTGATATTTGTTCAATATATTTGTTTGGTAATTGTTAAATATATATCTTTGGTAAGTGTTCAGTATATTTGTTTAATAACTGTTCAATATATTTCAGTAATAATTGTTCAATATATTTGTTTCGAAATTGTTGAATATATATCTTTGGTAGTTGTTCAATATATTTGTTCAATAACTGTTCAATAAAGTTGTTTAATAATTATTCCATTTAATTGTTTGGTAATTTTTCAGTATATTTTTTTGGTAATTGTTAAATATGTAGCTTTGGTAACTTTTCCATATATTTGTCCTTATTTGCAGATGAACCTACAAAGTTGATATTCCCATAACCTCAACAGTGTACCAAGTGGCCACAAAGAGATAAATGACTGTGGTCACATAGTTCTAAAATTGTACAAGGTCACTAAAACGGGTAAAATAGTAATAGGTCACTAGAGACTAAAATAATATATCATAGTAACAGGTCACTATAGACTGATAGTTTAAATTTCATAGAAAACAGGTCACTACAGACTGATAGTTTAAATATCACAGAAAACAGGTCACTACAGAAAGATAGTTTAAATATGACTTCCAACAACCAATCACCGTGAAGATGAAGCAAGGACGCCCAGCAGACAGGAACAGGACCTGACATTAAGATCTAGTCATCTACAGTCTACATTATAATATAGAAACCTTGAACTGTATGCAGGTCACGATTACAAGATTACAATGGTCTTCTCAGAAGGCATTCATTCGTGACCTTTAACGGTAACGGGGACTCTAACAGTGACTCTAACGGTGACTCTAACCGTGACTCTGACCGTGACTCTGACGGTGACTCAAACAAATTTTCAGGAATGTAAAGAATTTGAAGATTATTATGACTTTGAATGGTTGGCTCAATGAATGTGTCATGGGTAAATCTGTCTTATGAATGGACCGCTAATACAATACATTATAATACATTTTATTCGTTGGTCCGTGATAGACTCTGTGTTAATCAAACTAGTGTCCAACTGCAGGCAGCCAAGTGATGCATCGAAATATCAAATACTTTTACACATCGTTTTGTGATGTTTAAATCTTACATTCATCACATTTCCAAATCTTTAAGTCATCATATTTATAAATATTAAAGTCATCATATTTCCAAATCTTGAAGTCATCATATTTCTAAATCTTACAGTCATCATATTTCCAAATCTTACAGTCATCATATTTCTAAATTTAAATTCATCATATTTCCAAATCTTGAAGTCATCATATTTCTAAATCTTACAGTCATCATATTTCCAAATCTTACAGTCATCATATTTCTAAAATTAAAGTCATCATATTTCCAAATCTTGAAGTCATCATATTTCTAAATCTTACAGTCATCATATTTCTAAATCTTACAGTCATCATATTTCCAAATCTTACAGTCTTTATATTTTTAAATTTTACAGTCATCATATTTCTAAATCTTACAGTCATCATATTTCTAAATCTTACAGTCATCATATTTCTAAATCTTGCAGTCATCATATTTCTAAATCTTACAGTCATCATATTTCATCATACGAATCGTTCATTTTCTTAAGATCGTATTATTTCCTATCATAAATTAGTATACAATTAATTTGAATTGGTTTTAACAGAAACTAGGGGCTAGTGTCCCATACAACATTTAAATCTATTACATACATCCAGTGAAAGATGATTTAATTCTACAGCCAGTGAAAGGATGATTTAATTCTACAGCCAGTGAAAGGATGATTTAATTCTACATCCGGTGAAAGGATGATTTAATTCTACAGCCAGTGAAAGGATGATTTAATTCTACAGCCAGTGAAAGGATGATTTAATTCTACAGCCAGTGAAAGGATGATTTAATTCTACAGCCAGTGAAAGGATGATTTAATTCTACAGCCAGTGAAAGGATGATTTAATTCTACAGCCAGTGAAAGGATGATTTAATTCTACAGCCAGTGAAAGGATGATTTAATTCTACAGCCAGTGAAAGGATGATTTAATTCTACAGCCAGTGAAAGGATGATTTAATTCTACAGCCAGTGAAAGGATGATTTAATTCTACAGCCAGTGAAAGGATGATTTAATTCTACAGCCAGTGAAAGGATGATTTAATTCTACAGCCAGTGAAAGGATGATTTAATTCTACAGCCAGTGAAAAGTTTAGGATTTCCTTGGTCTCGGAATGGAGGTGACTTTTGAATCTAAGAGACTCCCAGGCGGTCACGGACTACTGAGAAATCAGAACACGTTTTGTCAATGTGGTGGAAGGTGAAGGTTGAATCAGTCTATTGTTGACATGTAGGCGAGATTTATATGTAAAAATAGCTTCTTTGATCGTATCTTCCATAAGATATCCCCCACCCCCCCCCCACTGTTCAGCCAATACAAATGTTATTTGCAACCACGTGTCACGGGTTATCGTTATGTCCCCGATCTGGTCTCAGTTTGCTTACACTTAGCAACTCGTGATCTCGGAATGACTTATTTGCATAATCTCCCCGAAAAAGATCACTTGACCTAATTCCCATGGATTAACATATTTTCTGCTACAATAAATACCCCGCACCTTCCCTCCCCCACCACCTTTTTTTTTCTTCTTTCTAAAACGCCCTCACTTTAGAAAAGGAAGAATTAAAGCGAACTTGTTTGTAGCATTGGGTACTTCAATACTAACTGAAGGTGAACATATGCAAGCCAATGTTATTTTACGCTTTACTCTCTCACGACCTAGTTACACAAAGTAGGCTGCGCATTTCTTCACTCTGCGCTCATTTAACTCAGAAGCTACCCGCCATTTTGGGTACGCTGTCTCTCAAAGGCCTACCCTAAACCCTGCAACCCCTCGGATGTATAATGGGGCCCAAAGTGGTGATTAAGAAACAAAATATATACTATCAACTTTGAACGCAGGGGGACCGCCAAGTGTCATGGGGGGGGGGGCGCGACTCTTCTCAATTGCTAATCTAAACATGCAAACCCAAGCAAAAATCATTGATAGCTTCCCAATAAAGGCCTACCCTAAACCCTGCAACCCCTCGGATGTATAATGGGGCCCAAAGTGGTGATTAAGAAACAAAATATATACTATCAACTTTGAACGCAGGGGGACCGCCAAGTGTCATGGGGGGGGGGGGCGCGACTCTTCTCAATTGCTAATCTAAACATGCTAACCCAAGCAATAATCATTGATAGCTTCCCAACGAATACACACACTTTGAAATAAATAAAAAAAAAAAAAGATATTGACATGCCTTCAGATTGAAAAGATACCTTCCGTTTTTGTAATAATGGTATACATTGGTGAATCTTACCATTTCGGTTTCGGAGAGTATTGTTATGAATTGTTAAAAAATGGTTGGTAGAAATGAGATTAGAAGAAACATTGCGCAATCGCCAACTGTCACTAACTTATTCCAATATTAGTGTCACCAATCGGTGTCATATATTGGCGTCATCATCCAGATATCCACGCCATGACACGGAACACATGGATAATGAGAGGAAGCTACTGAAACGGATGCTAGAGAAACAGCTACTTATCATAACTTACCACAGTCACGGCAAGGAGGAGAACTCTTAAACAGAAGGTAACGTTCATGTTTGATTAGAGTTGTCTGCTGCTTGGTAGATGAAAAATTTCTTTTTCTACTTTTTTTTTATTCTTCAAGCTTTACTGTTTATTTTTCTGTATAAAAGAATAAAATTATTTAAAACATATCTATATATCTTCAAAAAATATGTAATTCAATTAAGTTTATAAACAAAAGTAATTAAAAATAGCAAGCATAAAGTTTCATTTGACTTGATTTGGAAATTAACCCCCCCCCCACCCTCCTTTTTTTTCTAACTCATACATTTGATAGGGTAGACCACACATACCTACATACAATATTACAACACAACAAACTAGGGGATTACTTTTGTAATTAGGTTAAAATTTAATACAAGTCACCCATTAGTAATCTTCTAACAAACAACACACTTTCTAAATACATTAAAATTTACAGATCAGTTAGACAAGGGTGTCCCCTAACCCCTTACCTATATATCCTATCCTTTGAACCCTTGTTAGAGAGAATTAGAAGGAATGAGAGTATTAAAGGAGTAGGGATCCCTGGGGTAAAGAAACGAAAGTCATTACATATGCAGATGACACACGTTTTTTTCCTATTGGTGATAAGTCTATTTCAAAAATAATATCAATATTTCAAGAATTTGGGAGAGGTAGTGGGTTTAAAATAAAAATAACTAAATCTGAAATTACGGGGATTGGTAGGTGGAAAGATAGACTAGAATTCCCTTTAGGAATAGTAAAGAAAGATAGTCTTAGGATATATGGGATTTATTTTTCAAACACACTCAAACTAACACAGAAACATGGGAAAACATTGAACAATCAATAAAAAAAAAACGTAATTGACACACACAAATACATAGCACACACACTTTTTGGCAGGAGCACAATCATAAACACATATGTAATTCGCAAAACAATATACAATGGAACACATGGGGACCTCCACGAACAATTTTAAAACAAATCAACTTACACATCAGGAATTACATAACAACACAAAATATTAAAAATAAAACATTAATCCAATCTAAATTAGAAGGGGGTATTAATTTACAAGACATACAAACAAAACTAGAGGCACTTAGAATCAAATTTATAGGACAAGCCATTAGAAAGAAGGATGAAAATATATTTACACATTATTACATAGAGATAAGGTTAGGACAGTTAATAAAAATTGACAACAGCACAACACAGTACATGGGAATAAAAACAATCGGATTTTTACATGGCATGCATCCAAGCATTAAAAGGCAACGAAACACTTTTACACAAAACAACCAAAGAAATGTACACACATTTAATGAAGAGACAAGCAACACCACTCTACAATAGGATAAAATGGACACGTGTTTATGGAACAATAAACACTAAGAATACATTTAAAAATACACACATTAAAGAAATCGAAAATAAAGACAAATAAATAACATATAGACTCATATAAAATATGACACCAGTCTCATAAAGACCATACAAGGACAGAGTTAGGCACATAGATTGTCCACTCTGCAGGACAGGGGCAGATGAGACAGAACAACATTTATAACTGACATGCAACACAATATTACAGACTAAATCTACACTTAAACAAATCATTCAAGCAGGTACAGTTCAACCAGTAGATATAGACAGAACCATAACATTAAACACAATACCAGCATCCAAAAACAAGAAACAATACACAATAAGTCTAGTATCTCGTTCACAAAACAGAAAACATGTGTGTCACCACAGACTTAAGGCTTTTTTTCACAAACATAATTACACAAACATTACATTAGAAACACTTTATAGATTTAAAATACAAAACTTAATTCAAAACATAATTTAAGAAAATATAATGACAGAAAATACATTCAAATAACTTGTTTATCACTCCAATTCATTGATGACATCATGTTTAATAATTCCTGATAGAAGCAATTAATGTTTAATATAGTACACACTATTTAATTAGAATTTCAGTAACTATTGTGTCAATAGGTTATTTCAGCACATGACGTCAAACTTTGTTCAGTTAACACTTCGGTCATTTTGTCTGTAAATAGTTGACTCTGTATAGAATTGAATAGTTTTGATTGAAATTTTTTTTTTGGTTTTGGGATCATTAAAAAAATAAAAGAAAATAAAAAAATAAAAAATTCACACATTAGTTGTGGTAAAAAACGTGATCACATACAAAGTGATATTTAGCAAATTTAAATAAGTATTTAATTTTGTAAAAAATATGAAAATAAGTTTTATTTTTCATACAGACTTTGAAAAAAAAAAAAAAAAAAAAAAAAAAAAAAAAAAACCACGCTTACGTGTTTTCTTTTAACTTTGAAAAAAATTCATAACCAACAAGTTTTGGAAAGTTTCTCACACTCACTTAAAACTTTGAATTAAAACAAAAACAAAAATACCGTAAACTAAAATATATGCTCACCTTTTGAGCTGTTAAAGTGAGCTGAGTTGGAGATGTTCTGTTTGGTTTGTCGTGACTTGATCCACGAGATTTTTATAGTCTGACTGTGTGACGTACTTGTTTTGTTTTGAAACCACGTGGAGCCTTTTTGTACTGTAAGCCTAAAAAAAATATGCTAAAAATTCCCCATCCCCCACCCCGCTGCCCCCCCCTTGTTTCTTTTTGTTTTTTTTTTTTTTTTTTTTTGACAGTTGAACCATATCAAAGGAAGGGCCTCTCTTACTGGCTGCCTCTTTGTGACGCATTAGGAACGATGAACGCGTATTTGTCCGTAAAGCCATTCAGAGAAAGAATCCGCTCCAGAAATAAAATAGGAATGTAACCAACCAAATATTTCGTATGCCAGGAAGGCTGAAAAAGACACGCTTTAAAAAAAAAATATTTTTTTAAAAAACACAAGTCGAAGCCATTGAGCCGATGTTGCACAAGCTATTCCGATGTTCACACAAAGACAAGGTTGACATCTTTTCAACAATTGTATGGTTAAATATAATTCAAGAATATCGCTCCTCTTACCGGTGGCCAGATAATATTCATTAATGTCAATGGCAAGAACGCCGTTTTGGCAACATAATTAGATTTTTGTTACAAGTGGCTCAAAAATAACCAAATGGAATTTTTGTGTTGACGTAATTCGAGAGTATTACACAACGCAGTTTTTCCTTTAAATGACGTAATGCTCTCCAAAGAAAGTCGACATTTATTTGAAAAACAACAACACCTTTACAAAAAAACAGTGTGGGTTTGTGAGCGGGATTTTGAACAAACAAGTTTTCAATTAAACAACCCCTAACAACAAAGATTTTCCCATAGATCCTTTCTAAAATGTAATAGTGAGCATTAGAGGGGTGGGGCTGATCATTTGACAAAACATGCATACAAGTAACGAACTTTATCAGAATCCCAAATGGTGCTCTACCCCTTTTCCCATAGATCCTTTCTAAAATGTAAAAGTGAGCATTAGAGGGGTGGGGCTGATCATTTGACAAAACATGCATACAAGTAACGAACTTTATCAGAATCCCAAATGGTGCTCTACCCCCCCCCCCACCCCAAATCCAAAAGAAAAAAAGAAAAGGCTCGCAAGCGAATAATTTTTTATGCCCGCCCCTGAACTATGTAACTATTCCAATGACCCAATGACCCTTCCCGCTTTTACACGGCAGATTTATCGCACCAACAATATCAGAAAAACGAAAGAACATCTTACCCACCTATCATCGCACTCGCGATATTAAAAAAAAAAAAGAATCTCATATAACTCAGTTTTGGGGAACACTTTTTCTCGTGAAATCAGTGGCATTTATATTTTCTATCCTCTACATCTTGAAAAAAACAGGAAAAAACTGATGTTCGGTGGTTAGTGTTGGGATGTGGGGCTGGAAATTTGAACAAAAAATGTGTTGTCATCGGAAACGAATCTAATTAGCCGTCCGAAGATTTTGCCAGCCAGCCACGAACAAAAGCGAAGTTAATTGAAAGGATTTAAAAAAACAATGGCATAGCACAGTCAGTAAGGTGTCTTGGAAACCAAAGCACATTTGTTAAAACTTCATAAGTGATCGTGTCCTAGAAAAACAAGATCACTCAGGTGTCACTGTGAGGCAAATACAAAAGTGAAAAGAAATGCATGGACTGAAGAGGCGATAAAAATTAACGGGTAGGCAAATTATGGCAAGCAATACAACAGTGACCTATGCTTGTTATGTTAAGTTGCACCCAGGTAAACACAGCAGCAAGTGAACGCGTAGAAGCTCTAAAATGAAGGTACACATACATAGCTGGGTATATCATTACCTTCAAGGCTCCGATGACAGCGACATTGAAATAACTGTAGTCGCAAGAAGTTTGGGTTTGGTAAGTTTGAAATAGTCTCAACGCCAGCTTTCAATTAGTGTTGTATAATTATTACGCTTGTCGTAAAACCCCGCTTGCATGGCACCATTGTCTGAAATTTATTTTGTGCCACCGAATTATAAAATCGATTGTTCAAAGATGTTTAGAGAGATGATAGGGATCAGGTACTGTTGGGACGTGAAAAGATGTTTAGACAGATGATATGGATCAAGTACGGTGGGAACGTGAAATGATGTTTAGACAGAAGTTAGCGATATGGTACTGTGGGAACGTGAAAAGATGTTTAGACAGATTGTAGGGATCTGGTACTGTTGAAACGTGAAAAGATGTTTAGACAGATGGTAAGGATCTGGTACTGTTGGAACGTGAAAAGATGTTTAGACAGATGGTAAGGATCTGGTACTGTTGGAACGTGAAAAGATGTTTAGACAGAAGTTAGGGATGTGGTACTGTTGGAACGTGAAAAGATGTTTAGACAGATGTTAGGGATCTGGTACTGTTGGAACGTGAAAAGATGTTTAGACAGATGTTAGGGATCTGGTATTGTTGGAACGTGAAAAGATGTTTAGATAGATGATAGGGATCAGATTCAGTGGGATCTTGAGGAATAGATGCGTTCTAGGCAGATTTTTGCACACAGAACAAAGAGCTAAAACAAATATTTGATATTCCCAGAATTCACTTTGGACGATACATCGATTCAGCAGCTCAAGGCTTGACCAGCATCAGTCATTTAAGGGGTGGGGTGGATTATGAAAGGACCTCGAAATTTGGATACGGGCCTTATGAAAACGTGGTGAAATAAGTGAACGACAAGGAAATCCTGTAGAAATCAATTTTTGACCAATGCGCTGCATATTGTTGGAGGAACTTAGATCGAGGGTAAGATTTCCATCTGACATTTGATTCATCTGTCGGAAAACATCTGTTATATGCCACTATTGATAGTATCTGTTATGGCCTATTTACTGGACCAACTGCAAACATTTGGCTGTACATATAAGGTCAAATTTACTGGACCAACTGCAGACAGTTGACTGTACCTATAAATCATATTACGCAACCAACAGAAGACATTTGGCTGTACCTGTAAGGTTACATTTACTGGACCAACTGAAGTCATGGATATACAATCGCCGTTTGTTTCTGTAAGCTTTCTTCATCCTCGTTGGATTAGTTACCTGTTTGGGGTCGGAGTCGTATACTCAGAATCGCATTGTTGGAATCGTATTCTTGGAATCTTTCAATTGGAGTCGGTGTCTTGAAACATGTCCCCCCGCCATGACACCTTGTCTGACGACGTCTGATATCAGACACTCGTGTTACACGCCTCGTCGAACATTTCACGCGCTACCGCCACATACCGTGACCGAGATTGCAAGTTCAAGGACAAAGCACTTAACTATCTAAATAATAACATTATTTTTTTTCTCTACAAAATCTTTGATTGCATGACCTACTTAATTTTATTCAAACTCATAGATTGTTTGACCTACTTACGTCACTAAGCAGTTTTTCACGATCACTCAATAGATTTTTAAACTACATTTTAAAAAACAACTCCAATCGACTTCTATGATTTTATTCAGCAGGCAACTTGTTATTGCGCACCGGATGTGGATACTTTAGAGTATCCAGGAAGAAGCAAGGGCGTCCCCACTAACCTATTTGCACAAGGGGAGTTCCTTTGAAAGAGTCAAAATTTTTACAATATTAAATTTTCTACCGCAAAAAGCATGATTTAAAATTGGCCAATAATTCAAACGACATTAAAATTTTCATTCACTTTGCAACTGAAACTTCTTACAACGGTCTTATTGAACGCAGTGAAGATCGATTTAATAATTGCATTGGTACAATGACACATTTTGGCTAAAATAAATGATTTAATATTAGATACTGTTTTTATTTTACATGTTTTGTACAGCATCTGAAGTGATCAAGATATTTAGACATAATAATATAAAATACAGCGAAATAAACGTGAATCTGAAATTGAATGGGATAAGAATGATAACACTGTGTAGGCTGACAAAGGTATCATTTATGTCTACTGAGCAGGCTGACAAAGGTATCATTTATGTCTACTGAGCAGGCTGACAAAGGTATCATTTATGTCTACTGAGCAGGCTGACAAAGGTATCATTTATGTCTACCAAGCAGGCTGACAAAGGTATCATTTATGTCTACTGAGCAGGCTGACAAAGGTATCATTTATGGCTACTGAGCAGGCTGACAAAGACATCATTTATGGCTACTGAGCAGGCTGACAAAGACATCATTTATGTCTACTGAGCAGGCTGACAAAGGTATCATTTATGTCTACTGAGCAGGCTGACAAAGGTATCATTTATGTCTACTGAGCAGACTGACAAAGGTATCATTTATGGCTACTGAGCAGGCTGACAAAGGTATCATTTATAAATAAAAAATAAATAATCATGCTTGAACCATCCTAGGAAAAACTCATTAGATTGTGCCATGATTGAACCATCCTTCATAAAGTCAATAGAATGTGCCCTGATTGAACCATCCTTTATAAAGTCACTAGAATGTGCCATGATTGAACCACCCTACATAAAGTCACTAGAATGTGCCATGATTGAACCATCGTACATAAAGTCACTAGAATGTGCCCTTATTGAACAATCCTTTATAAAGTCCCTAGAATGTGCCATGATTGAACCATCTTAGATAAAGTCCCTAGAATGTGCCATGATTGAATCATCCTTCATAATGTCACTAGAATGTGCCATGATTGAACCATCCTTCATAACCCCACTAGAATGTGCCATGATTGAACCATCTTACATAAAGTCCCTAGAATGTGCCATGATTGAACTATCTTACATGATGTCCCTAGAATATGTCATGATTGAACCATCCTTTATAAAGTCACTAGAATG